ATTTACTATATTCTCACTACTGCATTGATTGCTGACGTACACATGTCTGTAAACTCCTCTTGACTGGTTTATAACGTCGCTTATAAAATGCTATCTGACGACAATTTCCTGGGATTTTCTTTGGGATGTTCAGTTAGACCATCTGTCACATGTCCGTCACGTTTTCAGACATAACGGAGAGCGACTAGATTGGTATCAGCTAACACTAAGATCAAATCTAAACTGAAGTATCTGATAAAAACAGAATAAATAGTGAGCAAAAATGGAGGAAATATTGAAGAATGACACGCTTCTTTTAAAAAAAAAGGAAGTAATGTCAGATCAGCGAGAGATCCACTTGGCCGCAAAGCCTGACAGATGTGCACAGTACTGAGGGAACATAATACAGACTTTATCATATCTATTACAAAACATTTAGTGCGCATACTGTGCATGAGCAGCTGCGTTAAAGAAATAAACATCTGAACTGTTCATACATGCTAGCAGACATTTGAATGAACCCCAAGAGTGAGGAGGCCTTTATCTTAAAGGGCAGGTTAAATACAAGCGAGTGTAACATTTATAGCTGCACCCAAAAGTCAAAATTACATTAAGATGTTGGATTTAGATGAATTTAACTATGGTAGGATTTTACCAGTTGATGGACATACGAGGGTGTAGCATTTCTACCAAAAGATCTCATCTATTTATAAGACGCTGACTCAAATATGAATTACATGAAGCAAAGAAAATTCACAGCTGCATCCACTTCTAAAAATATGTAGCAGCTTTTTGGGTGGAGAATTTGACTGACTTTATACAATAACAATCCCCCAAATGACTCAGCTGAAGTGCCTCTAAATAGTTGCATCCCAAAGGTCTTATAAAAGATTGGAGGGCCATAAATGTGAATCACACAGCAACACTTTATTCAGCCCATTCCACTGAAATTAGTAAAATTGATTTTTAGCCATGACACTCAAAGCAGCAGCTCCTCGTCGTGTCACCTGCACACCAGGAGGATCTCCCAGAGGAAGATTTAACTCAGCAGGAGGGTTTTGGTGCAGCACCGCGAGCTATGCGGAGATGAGCGCTTGTGAATGGGCCAGCTAGCGTTCCTGTGACCTCTGAGGCTTAAAGTGGAGGAAACTCAACCACCCTTTCGTCTTTAAGTCCCGCCCCATCGGCCCATCCGAGCGCCGTCACCAATGATTAGAGTCCAACGTGGGGAGATTACACCCTATTAGCACAGAGACAGATGACCAGTAGTAACCTCACTACAGCACTCTATTTAAAGACATCCTGCTCAGCTTTCTCTTATTCTTTACGTCCTTTTATTGTTGCTTTGCAGCTTGACTCACATCAATGGATTCTGTCTTTCTTTTGTTTTACGCCTGCTTTTTAACCATCAGCGCTTAATCATCCTTGCACAGCACCTACTCTCACTCTCTTTTAACCACTTATCCTTATCTCTTGCTGCCATTCCTCCGCTTAGACCCCCCTACTGGACTAAAACCCACAACTTTTTTCCGGTCCTTGTCATTGAGGAATAACTGCACAGACACTGTAACATCCTGTGCATGTGAGACAGTTATTTCCCCTCCAATACAACAGATAATTGCAGTTACAAGGTTTTTTTTTTTTAAAAAAAACAAGCTGCAGAATAAAACAGGAGCAAATTGAGCAAGATAGATTGCTATATATAAGACACACACACACACATATATATAAACTAAAAGAAATGCAGCGCTGAAGCTAAAGTAAAAGGACACAAACAGCTCAAACAAACTGCAAAAATGCAAAGCAGGCAAAAATATCTACACTGTAATTGCATTGCAGAAGGGTTAAAGCAGCTGTGGTCTAGGCAGCGGCACTTACAAAGGCGTCGGAGGGAGCCAGGCAGCCGGTGAGGTGTGTGATGTGTGCCTGTGTAGGTGTGTATAATGTGTGTGTATGTGTGTGTGTGTGTGTGGTGTGTCAAGGGGCATCAGGCGGATATCACATCGCCCTGTGCAAACTAGTGATTACCTTCCCACTGCCACGGGGCCAGATTAAGCTGAGGCAAGCAAGAGGAGGGCAGCGAGATGCGTTTTGGCCTGGTTTGGGCCTGGCTGGCTTCCGTATCACACCACCCTGAGCTCGACAGACGCTGCACTCTCTCTCACCACACCCACCCGCCCCTCCCTCCCTCCGTCACTCTCTCCCTCTCTGACACCCTCCCACCTCCTAAACATGCAGGCTCATCTTCTCCTTCGCTAAATGGAAACGATTCACAGACACACACGCATACAATGACAGACAACACACATGCATGTGCAGGCACGTACATGCAAATGAGCGCTCGAACGTTTAAACAAATCCCCCACATGTAATGAGGCAGCTCGCAGTTTAAGTTTGACTATCAAAGAAGCTTTTAAATCTCAGCCAATAGGACTAAGGCTGCAAACTCAGACCAAACAAGAATGGCACTGTGCATTACTCAAAGCACACAAGAGGATGTGAGAGAAGGCACACCGACCTGGTTCAGCACTTCAGGGCCGAGCCATTACCCGGCATCCGACAATATGAGGAAGAGTGTGTGCTGAATGCTGACACAGCAATAAGCCACTCATGGGGAAAGCTGCCATGTGGCTGTGAGAGCACTCAGACTGGGTAATATTATTGATTATTATTGACAAGGACGGAGGCTTTAGGGTGTCATATTCCTGCAGTCTGTCTTAAACCTCACCGCTTTGACAAAAAAAAAAAACTCTCTTGACACATAGCTAATGTTGAGCAATTAATTGATTTCAAACTGAAATTAGAAATGATGCAATTAGGAAATCGCAAAAGGCTGCACTTCAGGATTTCATTTATGTTGCACTGTACTCCTTGTGGCAATGCTCCATCACATGTGTTAAATATTAACACAGTGAATATGGAACTGAAGCTAACACAAGTCGAATCACAATATCAGCCAGAAAAATCACAATTTGACCCAAACTGTTCAACCCTAAATGTAATCGTACAGGAATTCGTCTTGGTGTGCCTCATTACTCCTTGCAAAAGTGCACAGTCACAGACACTTATTTCCCAGCAGGAAAGACCAAACCCGTCGCATTTATCCTGTCATAATGTGCAGTCATGCAGCATGTCTTTAATTTGCAGGTTCTGATTTCAACATTTTCCCAATCTCCCTCTCCCTCCTGTTACAGTTTCCATCTTATTAACGACAATTAAAGCCAGCATGTCACACTTCATAGTCAAGGTGGTCCTCCTGTGGTGGACATGAGGCTTGGAGAGGAGCTCTCATGGCTAAATGCTCAAAGATCATTGGCTGCCTCCTGCCGAAGGGTGGGGTAAAGCCACCACCATCCTTTTAATTAAATATTGAGGGAGGAAAAAGAATAGGTTTACATGCTGTGTAGGGCTACACTAGACGGTGATTAAAATGAATTATTGATGGGGAGGAGCAGCAGGGTGTTGGGATGTGATGACAGGTGATAGGTGCCACCAAACCTCCCATGGGGGTTCTTCACTGTATTTTTTAACCAAACCATCCAGTTTACACACACAGACACAAAAAAAGATTTGTGCTTACTTCTGATTGGCTGCATCAGTGATTAAATATGCAACACCTGCAACCCTGTAACAGCAAATTTTAATATTAATGCACCAGCCAAAATGCCAGCTGTTGCTAGATGTGTGTCACTTAGCAACCAGGCAGACAGACAGGGGAATAAACTGTTCAGCTGGGCCTATCTGCCTGTAAATCTTCGCTTGGCACACAATCTGCCACCGGTATCCATTAAACAATCATTTGGTGAAGAGGTGCGGCGTCTTTCATGGCACGTTGGCACTGCTGAGTCTTACAACGCCTCCAATCTTTAGCACGACTGTAAAATTCCGCTTGAAAATGGATTATATTTCATAAAAATCTCATCAAGCGCACTGGAGGTCAACGACCGTCTCCTCTTTGGAACGGCCCTGAAATCGCTGCGTAAACCGGGGTGGGGGTGGTGTCGGCTAAAGCGGAGCATGCTATGCTCGCCTGGTTTTGCCGGTAGGCCGCAGGATTTCAGCACCCCTCGCTCCTGGACAGCTCCGTCCAATCAGCTGCGCTCTTTCGAAGCGCGTCATCCTTCCTCATCCTCCTCATCCTCCCACCCTCCATCACTGAGGCATGGCGGAGGACATCACAGGCAAAATGCTGACTTTCACAACCGGCTTCCTGGCCAACTGACATGTTTTGTATGAAATAAAAGCACGAAAGGTGGATGATTGTGCAGCCTCGTTTGGGTAGAAATGCACTGTGCGTCAAAGATAAGAGGAAAGAGTTTCAAACGCAGGCGACACGAGCTAATAGGGGTTTTGAAATGACGTGCGTCCGGGTTTACGCACAATGTCACACGACCTTAGCAACTGGCCGGCCTTAAATGCTCACGTTTTATCCCATTTGGCTCGTGGCGAGAGCGATCCTGTCTTTTAGTGGCTGGATTTCAACGTAAAACACACGCTATGACACGAAAAAAAATCAACCATATATCATCCAGAATGACCGCATGGGTTCCAGCCGCATGGCAGCCTGTAGAGCTAGTTCCTACCTGATCAGAGGCAGCCTGCATAAAGCCAACCTGAAAGCATCCTTCGATGTTGGCCCCCGATAATCTTTGGGAGTTCTGGAGTAGAAATTAAAAAGCCTGGAGCTGCCACACTGAGATGTTTCGCCGCGTTAACAGGCTACACGTGTAGTCTGAGGAAAATGGAAAATGTCACCGGCGTCATCGCGGTGCAGGCAAAGCGCCAAATGCGGCAACTGATCATAATTTAACACTCGTCGAGATGTAGGAAATGAAACAGCACAACCTTTTGCAAAACGAGAAAGCCGGCAGTTGGATGGCACACAATGTGCCTCAGCCCCTCTGTAAGACAGGTGCATCGCCTCCAGCCCGGCGACGCCAAATCATCACCAAAAAAAACAACAACAGCAAAAAACATAAACGCACCACAAATCCGAAGACAATTAAAAAAAAACAACTCACCTAATATAATCCAGAGCGACCCAGAGACCAACACGAATGCGAGCATGTCTTTCTCATTGAGTCAGCTGTCCCGGTGCAGGAACGGCTCAGAACTGCAGCATCGACTGCAGCAAGTCGCCGACAATCTGGGAGATTAAGGAGGGGGGGCGACAATATATCTGAGACGGACCACAGTGGGAGAGCTGGTGCAAGGGACGGCGGTGCCCAGCAGGTTTCACTGTGCAGAAAGAAGGAAATAAAAAAAAAATACTGGACAGTGTTGACAGAAGAAACAGACCCCGACAGGCTAGTGCAGCATCCTTCCTCCTGGTGGATTTTCCACCTTCACCTAGTTGGCTGCTGCGCAATGGCAGACACCCCTGCTGAATTTCAGTGGCTTGTAGGTCGGACAGAAAATCCGATCGACGCCAAGGTTATTGGGGATGATATATCTAATCTTGATGCTGAAACATGAACCATATCTTCAATTTCTCCTCATATTTGTTGTAAAATAATCACGCATTTATCTCAAGTTGTAATCCGTGGCAGCCGATTGGTTCAGTGTGGATATTTTTGGGTAAAACATTTGCCTCTGTGAGGTTAAACTCTCTCTCTTATGCAAACATTGACTGTATATTTTAGGAGGTCTGTTTTTGTTTTTTTTTTAATATTGATTCATTTCAGATAGATCTTTGGTACATCACGCCATCCCTGCAGCTGCTCTGACACAGAGTAACGTTGCATCAGGATCACGTGATACAGTAAGACACTCCCAGTGAACTAAAGTAACCTTGAGAAAGGCTGACAAAGAGACAGAGGGTGTGAGGGAGTGACATGATGATCAGAGAGACTCAAAAAAGAGGAAGAGAAATAAGAAATATGCACTTTAAAATGTCTCCATTGTCATTTCAAGCAACTTTACATGTAAATGCATCCCAAACGTTTAGAATCTGACTGCCTGCTTTGCGCCTTTCTCTGCAAAAAAAATGATTCGCCTGTGAGCTTATTTACCTCAGAAGTCTTTACAGAGCAGCATGCTTACTGTCTTATTGTGTTGCTGCCGTCATGTGACTGACCTTATTAAATGGGTCACTTGTAAGGACCAGCAGCTACTAATCTGTCACTTGCGGCACCTTCCTGTTTCTTCTCTTTGATCCTGCTGCAGAGAAACACACATGAGGCAAAAGAACAAGCGAGTGTACAGAGAAGGGAAAGCGTTACCTGCGATCTGCCAGAAGCTCACAAGCCGAGTGACTGCAGTTTAGGGGATGGCACTGAAATTGATTACTGAGTTTATTTATTTTGCCATCAGATCAAAGTACACACAACACACTGACACCCAACAAAAGGCCCCCCTGCAGTGCGAACATTCAATAAACTGTCATAAATTATCATAAAATAGAGCATGTTCTCATTAAACCACAGATGGGTGGCTGGAGGTCAAACAGATTAAGTTTCTATATACAGACAGGTACAGGCAGGAGACAAATTAATGGAAAAATCAACATAAAGTGTCTAGATGAAGGTGTTGGGTCACTATGTGCTGCCAAAACAGCTTCAATGCACCTTAAAATCTTGATAAAGGTGATCCCTCAGAACAACTTTGTATTGATTTGCAGGGATCCAAACCATGCCTCTCTACAGAGGACAACAGAGCCACCGGATCCCCTCACTGTAGGGGTCAAGGGTTTAGGGTTTTCCTTTAATTTGTCACTCAGCTGTACTGCCCTTCACAGGATGCTCAGGAATAGGGGACTATGTTATACTTTAAGGCCAAAATTGAATTTACTTACACAACACGTGGTAAAAGTACAGAACCCTGGAAGGGACATGGAGAAAGAAAAAAAAAAAAAAAAACAAGAAGAGGGGGGGAAAAAATAGAGGTATCTTTTGTGAGATCTCGCAAAACTTTCTCGGGATCTCGCAAGAACTTTTGCGAGATCTTGCAAAAGTCACATCAATCTTACTGGATGTTTAGTGAAAATTGTGCCTCTTACTAAGAACTGCGTGAATGTCTATATTTTAGGCCATTTCAAAATAAAATTCAATAAAACTCCCGTACAGGTAGGTGTCCTCCATCGTCGTTTCTCCATAGAGCCAAAAAGACCCAGGAGTAGTCTTCTTCTTCTTCTTTTTCTTCTTCTTCTTCTTCTTCTTCTTCTTCTTCTATTGATTTGGTGGTTGGCATCCAACGTTCAGGTGCATTATTGCCACCTACCGGACTGGAGTTACCTATAGTTTTGCGAGATCGCAAAAGTTACCTCTGTTTTTCTTTCCTCTCCCTGTTTTTTTTTTTCTTTCTTTCTCCATGTCACATCCGGGGCTCCGTATAAAAGCAATAAAACAAGCTCAAAAGCCTGCAGTGATGCTAACAAGCGCCGTCAGGATGTATTTAGCCACAGCAGTGATGCTAGTTGCTAAAGTATGCTATCATGCTCACTTTGGCAATGTTACAGCGGAAGAAGGGAAGATATCATCATTTTTCAAGTATTGCGCAATAACAAAGACGTGAGGAGAAAAAACTGTTTTAAAAAAGTACAGTATCTTTGTAAAGACCCAGCGAAGCAAAGAGATTCAGATACAATTCAGAGATTAAGGTGCAGGATGAAGATGGCTGCCACTGAAAGGAGAGGTGGTTGGTTGGGCTCCATTTCCAACCTCTATGTTTTAAGGCTATTCGACTTTGTGGTGTTCCCACCATGTGTCTGGACTTGTGGTAAGAGGGGGATTTCAGCCAACTTATCCAAAGGTGAATCCACAAAGTATTATCTGTTTGGACATGGTTTTTTCCATCCTTCACTCTATCTGGTCTCCCAGAAGCCTGTGCAGAAATGGCCGGGGCAGGTCTGTCAAGTCGGCATCTCGGCATGGCAGAGCCTACACAATCAAAGTACTAATGGTACTGCTACTCCTGGCTAGGATATACACCTTAATCCTGGACCTGGTGCGGCTGAACAACAACAGGCCTGCTCTGTGACAGCACAAACTGCTACATGCAATAAACTCAGGCTAACACCTACACAACTACCTGATCTGCGGCCCCCTCGGCCCCGGCTAATACCTGGATCACCTGGTTCACTTGATTGGCTGCTGCTACCTCGGACCCGGCTAACACCTGGACCACATGTTCACCTGATCAGGTGCTGCGACCCCGGACCCGGCTAACATCTGGACCGTCTGATTGGCCGCTGCTACCTCAGCCCCGGTCAACACCTGGATCACCTGATAAGCTGCTGCTACCTAGGACTCGACTAACACCTGGATCACCTGCTTCACGTGCTCAGCTGCGGCTACCTCGAACTCGGTTACCACCTAGATCGTTTGATCGGCTGCCCCTGTCATGGCCCAGGGCAACATCCGAACTGAGTGGTATGGCTCAACTGTCACCTGCTCGACGTGCACCGGATACGTTCTGGTTCCTCTATCAGTTCTGTGGACCAACCCGTCGGCACCCGGACCAGCGGCACTCTGCGGCTGAGTCAGAAGGTTTCGGAACTCTCCATCTGTCAGATTCTGTTGATCACGGCGGCACCATGGCAACGCTGAATGGAACCGATTCACATACTTTGCAGGAAGCAGGAGCAGTGAAGCAACTTGTAAATGTGATAAAACCTGAAAGTCGAGCTACACAAAAACAGAAACAATATTTACTCTTCCAAACCGTTAATCATGCCCGAGTTCTATGGGACCCTAAGTCCAAACCAAAGGTAATCTTAGGCGGACATTTAAATATACACAGTACAATCCCGACAAGAGACGGGATATCTGCTCTGCTGCTGGACTCAAATCTGGACTTTCTCTATCAGAAGCCTGGTTACATAGTAACATACCCACCAACATGACAGACATTCCAGGTTATCACTCTTTTAGAAAAGATAGACAGGGAGGGAAGGGAGGAGGTGTGATCATTGACATCAAAGAAAAGTTTAAATGTCAACTGGTCGATTTGAAAACCCCCCGTTGAATGTATAGCTGTTAATGTTGTTCTCTCACCAACAATGAACTTCAACATTGCAGGACTGTACAATCCACCTTCACATAAGGTATCCTTGCAGAATGAGTTAGTGGTTTTGATTAAACAACTCGAGGTTCACAGAGAAGCAATATGTTATGGGGATTTCAACATTAACTGGTCTCGTAAAAATAACATCCATCCATTCATCCATCCATTATCTATACACCGCTTAATCCTCACTAGGGTCATGGGGGGCTGGAGCCTGTCCCAGCTGACTTAGGGTGAAGGCAGGGGACACCCTGGCCTGGTCACCAGTCTATCACAGGGCTACACTTAGAGACAGACAACCAAGCACACTCACATTCACACCTACAGACAATTTAGAATCACCAATTAACCTCAACATGTTTTTGGACCTTGTGGGAGGAAGCCGGAGAACCTGGAGAGAACCCACGCTGCACGGGGAGAACATGCAAACTCCACGCAGAAAGATCCCGGTGCCCCCACCGGGACGCAAACCGGCAACCTTCTTGCTGCGAGACAACAGTGCTAACCAACTGCACCAAAATAACAAACAGAAATTTAAAAACATCATGTCTAAATTTAATTATCAACAAATGATGGACCCACCAGGTTAACTAAACACTCTAGAACACTTATTGATATGGCATTTACGAATAAGCCAGAGCGTATAACAAAAACCTAGAATCTTAACAGGGCTTTCAGACCACAACTTGATACTTACAGTCAGAAAACTTACTAAAAAAGCGACTACAATATCTTGGAGGTGCTGATGTTGACAAAATAAAATTGATTATCCCCAAATCTAAAACCCTGCAGTTTGAAAATGACTTAATGAATCAAAACTGGGACCAAGTCATGTCAGTATGTGCAGTGGATCAGTGTTGTGATTCTATAGCTGCAACAATCAGAAAATCTATAGAAAAATTTACAAGGCAAATCAAATGTAGACAAAAAAAGACTAACCTACCATGGCTAAGCAGAGAAACAAGAACACTGATGGAGGCGTGAGACGCTGCTTTAAAGAAATCATCAACCTCGAATCTTCAAACTGATCACTTATTGTACAAAAGCTTAAGAAATAAAGTGGAACAAGAACTACGTAAAACTAAAATATCTTACGATAGTACAGTGATAGATAATGCAAGGGGTAAAGCACTTCTCTATGGAAGCACTTAAATAACTTAACCAACAGAACAAACAATCAGAAGGGGGTAAAGGAACTCATAATTAATGGCAAGTCTACCAATA